ATATTTATATTTTTCTAGTAGATCACATCATTCAGGTACCGCGGGTTTTTTAATGGTGCAGGACCATGTGAATATATTTTCGATGACGAAACATGGTTTTCAAATTGCTTTGCATTAATCTGGTGGGTAGCCATATTTTTTTCTGGAACTTAAACACAAAAGTTTTTTTTTTCTTGTTTTATTTTGCCCATGTTTAATTATTTTGCAGAAAAAAAACTAGACCACGTCAATTTCTCGGAATTCGAACCAAAAATTTTGGACCATGATTTTTTTTAAGAGTAGTCGTTTTTTTTTTTTTTATATATATATTTTTTTATTATGAATAGGACCACCCACTAATCAGCCCAAGAGTTTTCTTTTGAAATACGCATTTTACGTATTTTTATTATCCAGCGGGTAGGCAAGTTTTTTTTTTCAATTGTTATACACATGAAATGTTTGTTTTTTTAATGGAAGCCCTGGGCGGAATTGCAATTCTAATGTTTCAATTACTTAACATTTTTTGTTCAAACTAACCCACCCTTGACATTATTTATTTGTGCACCATATCACATTTTTTTTTCGAATCATAAGTGTTATTTTATAATCTTTATAATCCTTCTTTTTTTCTAGTAAAGATAAAAGATTTACGATGCATACTATATTATAATTTCGTGTGTTTATCGATATACGTGCCATAAATAATTTTGAAACACGCGGCGCACCGTACTCTGGGACAACATTTATTTTATGGACCTTTTGAAGTATGCTAATTAATATTAAGGAAAGAGGGTAAATTAAAAGCTGTTCATAAGCTACCCTACACCTGAAAAAATATTGTCTTCCCCTCCTGCTGACCAAATTCATCATTCCCCTGCCCTCATTAAAAAAAAACTTTTTTGCCTACTCCCCTCCCGCCGACTTGCCCTCCTGCTGAATCCCATTGCTGTGCCGATTGGTGGCGTAATTCATCGAGTCATTGGCTTCTATGGGCTTCTTGAAAGCATTAACCACTCAGCAGATCAGTGGGTGACTCGCATTTTCATTTACTGACAGCACACAGCTGCCCGTATTTAGCAGATGTTATTTCCCCCAATGCGTCTTTTTATTATGAAGGCTGTTTTGCCCACCCTGCGATATTTTTTTTTATGTAAGTACCCTACCCACTAAAAACGTTTCCCTGTCCTTGCATTTTTTTAGAAATCTGCCCTGCCCACTGGGGGTACTGATATATCCCGCCCTCTTCAAAAAATAGAAAAAATCCCCTGTCCTCAACAAAAATGCCTTGGAACAGCCTTCCCGATGAACAGCTCCATTGGCTGCACCTGATAGAGTGGAAAACGATGACACAAGAGAATAAAACTGAATGAATGGAGAGTAGAGCATAAAGCTGCTAAATTCTACGTGGCTACGGGTAGACTGACGAAACTCTGTCCAATTACACACAAGTCACAACGGTATGCAGGGAGCGCCCTCTAGGGACCGTGTAAACATTTATTTCCTGCTATACTGCGTAACAAAGGAAATGTCATTATGTAAAAATTTATGAGTATACATGCAAAGTTTTTTTTTCAGTTTTTTTAAATAAAATATATGTAAATCCCGCGGATTTTAGTTACCAAATAAATTCTGGAATTTTACCATAACAGTTTTGGAATTCAGAACCCTTGATACAACCCATTAGCCGAATTCACACTGAGTCCGACGGAATAGCGTCCGGATTTAAACAAATTCAGGATGTTAATTGATATTCGCAGACCATGAAGGGATCCCTGTCAGGTCACTGCAGATTTCACTTCCGGTTATTTAGTCAAATAATTGCGCTAATGATCTCCTAAAACTATGGAAACACATTTCAATCGTTATGCAACTCGGAAACAAGAGCAAGTAAATAAATATCATGCAAAAAAAATATATACGATAAACTAAAATAATAATAATACAATATATATTTATTTATTTCCCTTATTTGGGAAAATGTGGTCAATGTTATTTGCAATGCATTTTTTCGTGATTATTTAAATTTCTTTACTTAGTTTTTTTCGTATACTGAGTTGGTATTTATTGCCTAACATATTGCTGAACTAGTCACAACCACTCTATACATTTACAGGTAAAACCAATTAATTTGGTACGGGTAAAAGAACCCAGCAACATTGGGGCATATGTATCAACTTTGTGACAATCATGGCATAAATATACAAATATATTGATTGACTATCTGATCCAAAATGTCCAAAAAAATCAAGCATTTCCGGCATTTATTGTTGGATTTTGTTCAAACTTAGTACATACATTAGACATGGG